TCCAGTTCCATGCAAAAGAAAAAAAAACAAAAAACAAAATGTGGATTTTAGAATCACTGGGTTTGGGTCTCAGTGCTGTCACTTACTGTGTGAACTTGATCAACCAACTGGGTCACGTAACCTGCTCTCTAAGACAAGAAGTAACTAGGGTTCTTGCGGGCTATGTAGAGAGCACTGAGCACAATGCTCGATACATACATGTTTCTTCCCTGCTGTTGTCTGGGGTTCACTCTCCTTCCCCACAGACATCAAAAATGGCACCTATGTCAGCATAAGGAGACACTTATAAAACTGCAGTTCCTGCTTTATCAAATCAAAGCATTCACTTTTGGTGATCTCTATGGCTGACACCCCCAAGAGTCGGTGAGCTGTCCCAGCAGGGCTGGTGTCCTGCTCATATCTGGGGCCCAGCGCCCAGTGCCCAGCACAAGACTAGTCTGTAACAGCTTGTGGAAATGAACTCCTCTCTGAAGGCACCTTCGTGGTGCTCGGGTCTTACCTGGAGAAGAGTTGCAGCAAGTAGTAGAGGGTGTGCGTCTGGGAGAGGCGAGTTCGAGCGGCAGGTTGCTCTGCTGGGGGTGAGAGGAAGCGGAGGAAGAGTTAGGAAGGGTCAGGCTACTGGATTTCGGGGGCAGTGGGGAACCTAGAGGTGAGCAGGGTATGGAGTGGACTGCACGTTGAAGCATGAACGTGTGCAGGGTGCTTCTGTCCCCCAGCATGTGGATGGGGGTGGCAGGGTCTGCGCTAGGGACCCTTCCCCAGCATCTCCCATCCTCCTGCCAGGGCCTCAGCATCACTGTATGGCAGACCCTTGCTCCAAGAGGAGCTTTTCTACACTGTCACTTCTTTCATCCCAACCTCTTCTTTCTCTATTAAATGCCAATCTGAGTGTGAACCATGACCGACCTCTCATCTGTCTAAAAAAAGTCAATATTTACTCAATTACTCTATTAAGCCTAAAATGGAAAAAAACAAAAAGGAGGTGGGAGCAAGGCAAATGTTCTCCCTGCCTCTGCTTTGTGACCGGGAAGCCATGAGTTTGGGGACTATGTTCTTAATAATTAGTAGTTACTGAGCCTTTGCCTCGAAGCCACTGTCTCAGTCAACAGGCACACACTGATAAGAAGACATAGTCATCCACCAATTTAACAGCCTAAAATGTGTCTCAGCCTTATTAACACATGTTTCTGAGGGAATGTTCCTTCTCTAATTATAACTGACACCTAGCTGAAGCCTTCTGAAGTGTGCCTTTTAAAAATAAAATGTGGTTTTTTCTGATGATAATAATGGCTTACACATATTGAGCACCCATTATGTATCAGGGACCATATGTACCAGGGACATATATTAACTCATTAACTCAGAACAACACTAAGAGATTGGTACTACTTTACAGATGAGGAAACTAAAGCACAGAGAGGTTAAATAACTTACCCAAGGTCACACAGCTGCTAAGTGGTGGACACATACTTTAAACCCAGGCTGCCTTTTAAATTTAAGAATACATCTAAGCAATGTCTTTAATTCAATGTTAGATGTACCCAATACATATTTGCCTAAATTGAACTACCACTATTTTATATTACTTAACATTGGTAAGAAGGAATGAAGTAGCTGCCAAATAATTTTATTCATTCATTCACTCAGCAAACATTTTGTGAGCACCATGGATGCCAGGTCTGCCCTCCAGGTACTGCAGTCAAGGGGAGAGGCAAATGTGAAAATAGACCATCTAGTTAACTGAATATGAGGGATCAGCATGCACGAGGATGGAGAGGCCACAGAATTAATGTCCAGGAAATTGCAAGTGGCTCAGTGAGACGGAAGCGAGGCAGGCCAGATAGAGAAGAGCCTTCCGTTTTGACCAAGAAACCATAATTCATCCTGAAGGCTGCACAGCGCTGCTAGAGGGGCGTAAGCAGGGCAATGGCGTGATCCGAGCCTAGGAAACTCACCTGGCCCAGCCTATAAAGGCAGTACCGTCTGGCAGTTATACCCACATGCCGCGTTCAACCACATGGGTCAGAATTGTGGCCCCACCACCCACCCTGTAACCTTGGGCAGGATACTTAACCTTACAATTTCTATTTGTCATTTGCAAATAATCATAGCACCTATGTCACTAGATTGAAATGAGGATTAAAACGTTATCTCATATAATAGTAAAAGTAAGCACTCAATAAGCATTAGCTACTACTGATAGCATATTGGCTATTATTAATATCATTATTAATATTATGAATTATTAGTGACTAGTATTAATGATGGATAACATTAATTGAGTGCTTTTATTATTATCACCATGATCATTGTCACTTGGGGGGATGGGTTGGAGGTGAAGAGCCAGAGGGCACAGAGGCGAGGCGGAGTCCCCATAAATCCTCATCCACGTTGGACCACAGCAGTGCTTTGGGTCAAAAGCCAGTACTGGGTCATGATATCAACTGAGGGAGTTATAATGAGCCTTTTTTAAAAAGTGAAAGAGAATGAAATAGGAAATAGAGTGCATTGCCCATCGTGCAGTAACTCTGGTTTTGTGAAGCTTGTTTCCATTTTATACATATAAACACACTCACATGCATAAATGTGTGTATCAGGTCACAGCATAACATGTTTTTCAAACTACAGAGTGCAGTCAAAAGGGTTTTACAGAGTAGAAGGTATCATCACCGGTCTCTTCCTTCCCTGTGGCCCTGCCCCTCGGGCACTCAGAGGACCGCCCTCTTGTCAGCCAGTGTCAGGAGGCCGAGGGTCAAGAGGGCAGAGCTCAGGGCCCTGAGTTTGGGCCCAGTAAGATGATTTGGTTTCTGTGTATCCTAAGTCACACCCCTTGTCCCAGCACTAATTTCCAGGGATACTTTGAGAATTGGGTCCCCAACAGTGTCACTTATCCATCTTGATTGGCTCTAGTTAAACCCTAAGGCACTGCAGTCTGTCTAGTAATGCTGGGTCTGCCACTAAGTCACCTTGGGCAGGAGGCTGTATGGGTCTGGGTGACTGCTGCCCCATCTGTAAAATGGGGGTGAAAATAATTGTCTTGCATGCTTCATGGTTATTATCAGGCATCAATAAAATCACAGATGTTTGCACTCTTTGAAAATCATGGAAAACATGTAGGGGGCAGTCTACTAGGGGTCCATGATAAATCCCAAAGATACTGACTGGTAACCTCAGACATTCCCTTGCTGAGCAAAGTGGTACAGGTTTCCAGGTTGGAACACATGGACCCATTTGATTGGGTCTAGAAAGCTCTTTAACAAGACAGATCGAGTTTGCATTGGAGCCAAGCTAAGACCTGCCCTGGAGAGGGCCTTTGGGGTCTTGGGAGGAAAGAGCGCATCCTCAGGCCACAGGGATGCCTCAGATAGGCATCTATCTGATGGAAGGCAGAACTTGGAAACCACTACCCCTAAGACCAAAACTCACCCATGAGTGTGTTTCGTTTGATTTGTAAAATATTTTGAAATTTTAAAAAATAATAATGGACAGCATTTAAAAATCATACATTTTACATCTAAATCCAAATTTCCAGCTTGTCTTAAAAACTCACAAGACACCCTGCACTCCTACATCGCAGCATTGGCCAACACTGAGTGCCCACTGCCCTCCTGGACAGGCCCACCCTCCCCGCCTGTCAGAGGGCCCCCCGCCCCCACCTGGCACTGAGACTCCCTGCCAGCACTGTTTATCATGAATTTTGCTCTGTTATTTCTCTAGTAGGACAGTCACACAGTGGAATGTTTTGTAGACCCACATTGCTCTGCAAAGTGGCACAATGAAAGAAAGAACTGAGAAGGTTGCATCTTTCAAGAAAAACAAGAGCTCTCCTCATACGTTGTGCAGGATATTCTGCTTTCCTCCTATGCTTATATCCTGGCTCTCATAGGGGGCTACATTTGCAACCCCATAGCCAAAGGAAGACATTTAGGAGAAAAAGCGTGCTATGATAGGTTAAAAAAATCCTGGGGTGTCGGTCTAGGGGAAAAAGGTCAAGATGGAGAAAAGAGGAGAAAGGGAGATTAGGAGTGTCTCACCAATCAGACACCCCGGCAACACCCAGACGTCTGGGGCATGTGCTGTGGCTTCCCCAGGTGCTGATGGTCCTCTGATGAGAAGGACGAGACTGGAGGTGAGGGAAGGACTCTCTGATTGGCATGTAGTCAGGGCCGGCCTAGCTGGAAGGACACTTTGTGTAGTGGCAGGGAGCAGGCTCAAGGGGGCATTATAGAATACAAAAACAGACCTGGGTTCAGATCCTGGCTTTGTTGCTTACCACCTAAGTGACCTCGAAGGAGGTTCTGAACCTCAGTTTTCTCATCTGTCAGATGGGGATTGGTTGGCCCATTAAACAAATGTGTACTAGGTGCATCAGGCTCCACCCTCAGTGCTATTGATCAGGAGTGAGCAAAACAGGTAAGGCCCCTGGTCTCATGGAGCTTACACCTTAATGGAAGAAAATAGACAATAAGCAAGGAATTATTTAATTATCTGGTGATGATAAGTGTGGATTGGTTGTTTATGCCTTGGCTCATTTCCCAGAAAGGTTGGCGACAGTAGTAACATCTGGGGACGTGTGACGATTTAACGAGATAATATATGCAAAGTGCTTACCCCAGTGCCTGAGTATAGTCATTGGTTTCAGGAATTCTTAAGGAGCCCCTGTTCTGTGTCAGGCCCTGTCCCAGCGGGGGACATGATGGGGACAAAGACGTGATTCCTGTCTGGGGGATTAGGAAAACCAGCGCCCTCTGACCTTTGTTGTCAGCTTCCTGATACCCATCACTGGAGGAGGCGGAGGCATCTTCTCGATGGAGTGGCAGAAAGAGACAGGATTCATCCTTAGAGGCCCTAGGTGCAGGGCCCCCTGTGCTCCTGACGCCTGTGTGGCTGTGGAGCAATACTCCTCCGCAGTATTGCAGGGTGACTCGAGGGCCGGATGGAGCAGGTGTTGCCTTCGTCTGCTGGGGCCGGAGCTCACGGCCTTTCTTTGGTTTCCCCAGCTCCAGACCTCTCGGCCCTGAGTGAGGCGAGGACCCTGTTCGTGGATGTGGAGGAGCGCGGGCCGGAGGCCATGGACGTGAAGGAGAGGAAGCCGTACCGCTCGCTGACCCGGCGCCGAGACGCCGAGCGCCGCTATACCAGCTCGTCGGCGGACAGCGAGGAGGGCAAAGCCCCGCAGAAGTCCTACAGCTCCAGCGAGACCCTCAAGGCCTACGACCAGGACACCCGCCTGGCCTATGGCGGCCGCGTCAAGGACGTGGTGCCGCAGGAGGCCGAAGAGTTCTGCCGCGCAGGTGAGGGCGGGCCGGGGGCGGGGCTTGGGCAGGTGTGCTGCAGGTGTGCACCTGCGCCAGGGGCAGGCGAGCACCAACGCGAGCGGGGTACTGCGTCAACACCAAGTCTCTGCTGTTTTGGCACCTGGGTCTGGTCAAAGCCTGCGCCGTAGTTCATTCTTAGTTCATTCGTTTTCGTGCTCACCCACTCGGTTGGCATAATGAGGTGGTTGGGAGCTGCGCTCCCTGTCAGACTGCCTCGGGTGCGTTCAGAGGCGCCACTGCCTCCCCTCTAAGCCTCGGTCCTCATCTGTTAGATGGACATGAGTAGTCTCCTCACTGCATTGAGTTGTGAGGACCGATGAAACGACGTGGTTAAGGGGTAAGCATGCTACCATTAAGTGCTGAAGAAGTCTTATTTGTTCACATATTTATTCCTTCAACAAACATATCTTAGCATCTTCTTTGTGTCCAGCATTGTCCTGACCTTGAGAGGAAGATGCTCCTGAGATGGTTAGACCTAAGAACTTAGTAATTGGGGGGCTATCTCCTTCACTTCCTAGACACAGTAGTCACCAAAGCCTGTCCATCCTACTCGGGAATACCTTCCAAATCTGTCCCTCTCTACTCCATCATCTCTGCCTCTGTCCCGGTTCAGGCCACTATCATCTCTCACACAACCTCCCTTCACCCAGTGCTGCCCTCTTTGGGCCATTCTCTGCACTGCAGCCAGAGTGAAGCGTGGGAATGACTCCCCATTGTCCTTAACCTGAGCTCCTTAACCTGGCATAAGAGAGCTTTCCCCAAATTCACTTGTCTTCCTGTCTTGTTTTATCCCCTGCCCCTCCACACCCCACCACCCATGTGCCAGCCCCGCTGAACTGCTCCTTACTCCCACACCTGCTATGATGTGTGTTCCCTACCCTGGTGCCTCAGAGATGCCTGTTTTTCTGCCTGCAGAGCCGTGAGCCCTCTTTGACGCCTGGTGGGCCACTACCAGTCCCTGACAGTTCACGCAGCCCTCCCTGATTCTGCCCTGCCCACTCCCCTTCCACAGACAGGGTTATCCAGGCACTGTGCTGTATAATTTATATACTTTTTGGCATTTTTGTTTAATCCTTTCAACAACCCCAAACTGAATCATTTGCCCAAGATCACCGAAGTGAGAGGAGCTGTCACACACACAGGCTCCCATGCAGGTTGACATGGCCTCTCCCACAGGCCTGGCTCCACTGAAAGCTGACCTGTTAGCAAGGCTGCCTCTCAGGCTTAAAAGACGGGAGGTCTTCAGCTCTTTCCCAGCTTGTGGTTAAGAACTCAAACTCTGGCATCAGACAGATCTGGATTCAAATTCTGGCCCTGCCGTTGTTGCTACCCTCAGCTTCTTCAGCTGGCCAATGGGATAGCAGTGATGCCCCCTAAGAGTAGGGTGGAAAGGAGGATGAATGAGGACTGTGATTGAAGCACTTGACACGGCACCTGGCACAGAGCAGATGCTTCATAGGTGCTGCCTACTACTAATTGTCATCGCTGGGTCTCAACAAGGGGAAGAGACAACATGGTCTCAAAGCTTTCCCCCAGCTCCTTCCTGCCCATGCTTGATAGAGCTCAGCGAGCCCTGCCCAGCAGCTCGGCCTCATGCCCTCCCAGCACATGAGGCTCCAGAAGGACCCCCTTGTTGTTTATTTTCATAAACAACAAATTAGAAGCATTCTTCTCTCACAGGCAGACAGGAGCATTGCAGTTTACAAAGTATTCTCCCTCCCTTTACCTCCCTGGATCCTCAGAAATCCTGTGAGGGTAGCAGGTCATACATGATCACCCCATGTTAAAGACAAGAACACCGAGGCCCAGGTGATATCCCAGCCCAAGTTTGCACAACTAGATGTTGAGTGAGGTGGAATGTCAACCTGTGTCCTGGGCTCCTCAGGAAAGAGGCCAAAAGGACTTAAAGCAAACAGACCTTGAGGACTTCTCACGTTTGATGAAATAAATCTTCTAAGCTCACACATTGGAAGGGCCAGACTGGCTCAACAGGATCACTGAGCCCTTAGAGTCGGCCCTCACCTTGCATTTCTCCAGTCCTGGGATGTCTCAGCTTACTCATATTGATGCTGAGTCTGGCTGCTTAAAAAGGTATGCAGCGCAAGCCATATGGAAATCAATGCAGCTCGGCTGTTTATTGCAAATAAATTTGATTTTTCACTTAATGTAGCAGTCATTCTTCATAATGTGTGACCAGCCTCCCTTGAGAGGGCCAGCCCAGCAGAGCAGGGATATGGGGAAGGGGGCAGGAAAGGAGCTCAGAGGGAGGCTAACCAGGTGGGCAGGGAATGTGGTGTCCAGAGATGGTGGGAAGCAGATTGAGGGGATTTAGGCTCCAATTTGGAGTTTTCTTCTACTTAGAAGGAGAGCAACAGAAGAGGGCAGACTAGAATATGGCACAAAGGAGTGATGTTGAAAATATTTTACATCTGGTCTGGCCCAGACCCTGGCCAATCAGAATGTCTGCCTGGCCCAGACACTGGCCAATCAGAATGTCTGCCTGGCCCAGACCCTGGCCAATCAGAATGT